TCAACGGCGGCTTGGCCGCCCCCGAGGGAGACCCCCGCCCCGCTCTCCCCTTGGAGGACAACCTCTTCTTGCCCGCCAAGGAGAGCAAGCAGCCCAGCCCGGCCCAGACCACGGAGATCTTCCAGGAACTGCAGCAGGAGTGCATGAAGCACCTCAAGGTGCCCCGGGGTGGACCTTCCGGGGCCGCCGTCCCGAGTCCCGGCGAGGAGAAGCCGCGGATCCCTCCTCGGGTGCCCATCCTGCCCCTCCCGTTCCGGCGGAACGAGCCCGGCCGTTGGTCCGGAGACCTGTCGCCGGCCTCCGGAGGGGAGGAAGACCGTCCTCCCCAGATCCCACCCCGGGATCGCTTGTCCCAACCGGGATCCAGAACTCCCAGCCCCAGGTCCCTCCAAGGCGGCTCTCCGCAACCGCGAGCCAACCTCTGCTCCCCGCTTTCTCTGGGGGGCTTCCTGTCCACCTCGCCCGGGAAGCCGCCCATGCCCACCACCCAGAGCTTCGCCCTGGACCCCAAGTACGCCACCCCCAAAGTCATCCAGGCCCAGGGGAAGGAGTGCGCCAAGGGCCCCTGCATCTTGCCCATCGTCAAGGACGGGCGGAAAGTCAGCAACACCCACTACTATCTCCTCCCGGAGCGCCCGCCTTACCTGGACAAATACGAGAAGTTCTTCAAGGAGGCCAAGAGCCCGGAGGGGGGAGGCGGCGGCGGGCCGAGCCGAGTGGTCAGCACGGCCACGGTGCGGCCCATGATCCAGCAGCAGCAGCAGTCGCCGGCCCCGGCGGACTACAAAGCCAACTTCTCGGCCAACAATAGCAACAGCAGCGTCAAGGCCACCTGTGGCCTCCAGAAGATCGTCTACGAGGGTTCGGAAGGCCCTCGGGGTTCGGAGAAGATACGGCAGGTGAGTGGTCCTCTCGGGCGGGGCCGCCTCGCGGGAGCTGGAGGAGCAGGTGGACCGACCGGTGTGGGGGTCCTGGGGGGGCTCCCTGAGCTGGGTGGTTTTTCTTGCAGACGTTTCACGACCCAACTACGGAACGTCATCAGGGCTAGAAGGGAGAGGGGGGTTTGTGGAGAGGAGGAGGAGGAAAAGAGGAGGATAATTATGGGATCCTTGGTGCTCTCTGAGCTGGGTTCCAAGCTCAAGAGAGCAGCGAAGATCCCTCATTTCAACTCTTGAGTTACAAATAGACTCGATTGGAGCGACCCCTGACTTCCCGGAGTCCCTGGTGGCCTCCCCTCCAGAGAAGTCACCAGGGGGTCCTTGCCCAGGTCACAAGTCGGCGGGAAGCCCACCGATCCACCATGGCGGTGGTGGTTCCCACAACACTTAACTGGGCCTGCAGTAAACTAGCTCATCAGGATGGATTTGATCTCCATTGGGGTTTGAAGGCTGCACCTTTGCCTTAATTGTCTTATGCTCCCTTCCCTTCCCTCCTCCCCTCCCTTCTTTTCTCCTCCCTCCGTTCCTCCCTCCTTCCTTCCTCCCTCCGCCCTTCCATCCCTTCCTTCTCCCTCCCTTCCTCTGTTCCTTTCTCCTTCCCTCCTTTCCTCTGTTCCTCCTTCCTTCCTCTGTCCTTCCATGCGTCCCTTCTCCCTCCATTCCTTCCTTCTCCCTCCCTCCCTTCCTCTGTTCCTTCCTCCTTCCCTCCCTCCCTCCCTTCCTTCCTCTGTTCCTTCCTCTTTTCCTCTGTTCCTCCTTCTCTTCCTTCCATGTGTCCCTTCTCCCTCCCTTCCTCTGTTCCTTCCTCCTTCCCTCCTTTCTTCCTTCCTCCTTCCTTCCTCCTCCCTCCCTCCATTCCTTCCTTTTTTCTTTCCTCCTTCCGTCCCTTCCTCCCTCCCTTCCTCTGTTCCTTCCTTCCTCCCTCCCTCCTTTCTTCCTCTTTCCCTCCATTCCTCCCTCCCTCCTTCCGTCCCTTTCTCCCTTCTTTCTCTCTCTCTCCCTCCCTCCTTCCCTTCCTCCCTTCCTTTTTTCTTTCCTCCTTCCGTTCCTTCCTCCCTCCCTCCCTCCCTCCTGTAGCAGCGGAGTGGTTAAAAATGCAGTATTGCAAGCAAACTCTGCCCACTGCCAGGGGTTCAATCCTGACTGGCTGAAGGTTGCCTCAGCCTTCCATCCTTCCCAGATCCATAAAACGAGGACCCAGATTGTTTGGGGGGGGGGAGCAATACACTGACTCTAAACTGCTTAGAGAGGGCTGTAAAGCACCATGAAGCGGTGTATAAGTCTGTGTGCTGTTGCTGCACAGATGTTGCCCAGCTGCACCATCTTGATCCCCTTTGCAGGTCCAGGAGACGGTGCACGGGGTCACCACCGAGGAGTGTCAAGCCGCCCTGCAGAATCACAGCTGGAACGTGCAGAAGGCTGTCCAGTACCTGAAGGTAGAAACATCTGCATGGAGCATTTCTCCTCCTCCTGGCGCAAGGAACAGGAGGGAGATTTTTTGAGTGTGTGTGTGTGTGTGTAACCCTAGCCCAGAATAAATCAAATGAAAACCAAAAGCAACCCATGAGGAAGACTCCTTTTGATCATGAAGTTACAGACCAGCCTTCCCGATCCTGTGGGGTCCTTGGTGCTGTCTGACCTTGGTTTTCCTGCAGACGTTTCATCACCAAACTAGGTAACATTTTCAGTGCTAGAAGAATAGAGTAGGGAAGGGAAGGGAAGAGAAGAGAAGAGAAGGGAAGGGAAGGGAAGGGAAGGGAAGGGAAGGGAATGGAATGGAATGGAATGGAATGGAATAGAATAGAATAGAATAGAATAGAATAGAATAGAATAGAATAATAATTAGAATAGAATAGAAAATAGAACAGAATAGAATAAAATAGAATAATAATTAGAATAGAATAAAAAGGAACAGAACAGAAAACAGAACAGAACAATAGAATGGAATAGAATAGAATAGAATAGAATAGAATAGAATAGAATAGAAAATAGAACAGAATAGAATAGAATAGAATAGAATAATAATTAGAATAGCATAGAGAAAAGGAATAGAATAGAATAATAATTAGAATAGAATAGAGAAAAGGAATAGAATAGAATAAATAGAATAATAATTAGAATAGAATAGGAGAAAAGGAACAGAACAGAAAACAGAACAGAACAATAGAATAGAATAGAAATTAGAATAGAATAGAATAGAATAGAATAGGGAATGAATAGAATAGAATAGAACAGAACAGAATAGAAAATAACAGAATAGAATAGAAAATAACAATAGAATAGAAAATAACAATAGAATAGAAAATAACAGAATAGAATAGAAAATAACAATAGAATAGAAAATAACAGAATAGAATAGAATAGAATAGAATAGAAAATAACAATAGAAAATAGAACAGAACAGAATAGAATAGAATAGAATAATAATTAGAATAGAATAGAGAAAAGGAATAGAATAGAATAATAATTAGAATAGAATAGAGAAAAGGAATAGAATAGAATAATAATTGGAATAGAATAGAGAAAAGGAATAGAATAAATAGAATAATAATTAGAATAGAATAGAGAAAAGGAACAGAACAGAAAGCAGAACAGAACAATAGAATAGAATGGAAAATAGAATAGAATAGAATAGAATAGAATAGAATAGAATAGAATAGAATAGAAAGGGACCTTGGAGGTCTTCTAGTCCAGCCCCCTGCTCAAGCAGGAGAACCTACACCATCTCAGACAGGTGACCGTCTAGTCTCTTCTTGAAAATCTCCAGTGATGGAACGCCCACGATTTCTGGTGGCAAGCTGTTCCACTGGTTGATTGTCCTCATTGTCAGAAGGAGGAGGAGCAGGAGAACTGTGGGCTGTTTTCATGTCCCCCCCGGTCCTCCTTTTCTCTAGACTGGCCGTACCCAAATCCTTACAATGTTTTTGTCTCCAGGCCTTTAATCCTCTGAGTTGCTCTCCTCCCCACTTCTTCCAAAGTCCCAACATCTTTTTTTTGTAATGTGTGGTGACCACCTTGGCTGTAGTTTTTGTAATGCGATGCTCTCTCCCGCCTGCCCCTCGTCTGCAGGTTGAGCAGCTCTTCTGCCTGGGACTGAAGACGCGGCTGGATTGTCACAAAGTTCTGGAGATGTTCAACTGGAACTTGGAGCAGGCCAGTTCTCACCTGCTGGACCCCTACAACGCCGGCCAACTCAAGTAAGAGGAACCATGTGGCACGGCTGGCTGCATTCTCTTCCGGAAGGGAAGCTTTTTCTCCTTGCCAGGATGTGAGCCTACAGCAGGGGTCTTCAAACTGGGCCCTTTGATGACTGGTGGACTTCAACTCCCAGAATTTCTCAGCCAGCCTCCATTTTGTTTGTTAGATTTAAGACAGGGGTCTTCAAACCGGGCCCTTGTATGACTTGTGGACTTCAACTCCCAGAATTCCTCAGCCAGCCTCCATTTTGTTTGTTAGATTTAAGACAGGGGTCTTCAAACCGGGCCCTTTTATGACTTGTGGACTTCAACTCCCAGAATTCCTCAGCCAGCCTCCATTTTGTTTGTTAGATTTAAGACAGGGGTCTTCAAACCGGGCCCTTTTATGACTGGTGGACTTCAACTCCCAGAATTCCTCAGCCAGCCTCCATTTTGTTTGTTAGATTTAAGACAGGAGTCTTCAAACATGGCCCTTTTATGACTGGCGGACTTCAATTCCCAGAATTCCTCAGCCAGGCACGCTGGCTGAGGAATTCTGGGAATTGAAGTCCACCAGTCATGAAGGGGCCCTAGTTCCCCCATGCTGGCTCAGGAATTCTGGGAGTTGAAGTCCACAAGTCATGAGGGGGCCATAGTTCCCCCACGCTGGCTGAGGAATTCTGGGAGTTGAAGTCTACGCATCATGAAAGGGGCCATAATTCCCCCATGCTGGCTCAGGAATTCTGGGAGTTGAAGTCCACGAGTCATGAAGGGGCCAAGTTTGAATACAGGCGGTCTCCCATCCGGGTACAGGTAGTCCTCGACTTAACAACGGTCCATTTAGTGACCAAAGTTACAACAGCATGTGAAAAAGGGACTGAAAACCATTGTTCACACTTAATGACCGTTGTAGCCTCCCCGTGGTCACAGTATCAAAATTCAGACGCTTGGCCACTGGTTCATATTTATGACGGTCGCAGTGTCCCCCCGGGGGTCACTCTTTTGCGACCTTCGGACAAGCCACGCCAATGGGGAAGCCGTGTTACCAGCTTAACAACAGCAGCATTTCACTTAACGGCTGTGGCAAAAACGGTCGTAAAAGGGGGCAAAACTCACTTTGCAACTGTCTCACTTAACAACGGAAAGTTTGGGACTCGGCTGTGGCCGTAAGTCGTGGAGTACCTGTGCTTTAGTGGCTTCATTTCAGTATGTTGGATGAATCTGGCTTGGTTAGTTGGCTTGAAGATCCGTGCAATGCGCGATCTCGGAAAAGAGACAAACTTGAGAAGCCAGTAAAATGTGCTGTGTGAATGCCTCCAAGATAAGAAGAGCGATTCTCTTCTCAGTTCTTCTTTTCCACTGATTTTTTTTTTCCTCCCCTGCAGATATACTCCTCACTGCTTGCTCCTGGGAGAGAGAGAGAGAGATGGAGGGAGGGAGGCAGAGAAGGAGGGAGAAAAGGAGGATGGATGGAAGGGAAGGAAGGAAGGAAGAAGGGAATGAGGAAACGAGAAAGGAAGGGAGGGTGGAAGGAGAAGGAAGTGAAAGGAATGGAGGGATGAAGGTAGGATGGAAGGAAGAGAGGGAGGGAAGGAAGGAAGGAGAAGGGAATGAGGAAACAGAAGGGAGAAAGGAAGGAAGGAAGGGATGAAGGTAAGATGGAAGGAAGGAAGAGAGGGAGGATGGAAGGTAGGGAGGAAGGAGAAGGGAATAAAGCAAGGAAGGGAGAGAGGAGGGAAGGAAGGAAGAAGGGAATGAAAGGGATGAAGGTAGGCTGAAAGGAAGGTAGAGAGGGAGGGAGGATGGAAGAAAGGAAGGAGAAAGGAAAAAGAAAGGAGAGGAGAAAAGGAAGAGAGAAAGAAAAGAGAAAAAGAAAGAAAAAAATTCACTTTATTTTCTTTGCTTGCTTTTCATCCTTCCAGACGGTGAATAGTATTCGTCTTCCCAAGCAATGGACCCTTGGGGGGGGAAGGAAATGCCCAGAATCGTTGACCGTCTTCCAACCTTATTGGACCAAGCGTTGCTTTTGAGGCAGTGGATGATGGATCCTGGAGAAGAAGGCGCCCTGCAGCTAGGACTGCCCTGAACAGCCGGCAGGGTCCCGCCGCCTCCCGCCTCCCTCTCATCCAGTGACTGTACCCCCCCCCTTCCCTCTCTCGGCGGAGGCAGGCTGAGTTGCTTGCGTTCTCCCTGCTTCGGCTCTTAATTCTCGCTGCTGGATTCCTTTTGTAAAGAGAAGTGTTCGCGTTAATATATAAAATACTCTGTTCTATTTTGGAGAAAAAAAGGATGGCCTTTCCACTTGCACGTTCCTCTCCGGGGAAGGGACGGGGGGCGTTGAATCCTTGGGAAGAGGGCCGAAGGGGCTAGCAAGCCCCTAAAGGGGTGTGGGGGAGAACCAGTGACATGACATGATTTAACGGTACGTAGGAAAGGCCTTGGGAGACCGAGGAAGGGAAGCTGTCTAGATCAGGGCTTTTCAACCAGTGGTAGGGGTACCACCTGTGGTACATTGGCACCTGGCAGGTGGTACGCGACCATCCTAGAAAAGGGGTAGTGGGGGAGGGGAATGAGCTGAACCGGTGGCAGCACCCCACAAGCCTGAGCGAGAGACGGCTGGAGCTGCAGGGCTGTCAGGGCTCAGCGGAAGCGCCAGGATCAGCGCCAGGATCCAGCTGGATCTCGTTGCTGATCCTGGTGCTTCTGCTGAGCCCAGAAGAAGCGCCGATCAGCTGGAATGTTGCAGCCCCTCCAGGGTCTTGTGATTTACATTCAGAGGCTTGGCAACGGATTCATATTTATGACGGTCACAGTGTCCCAGGGTCATGTGAAGGGACCAAAACCTGCTGCAGCCACCCAGCAGACGGGGGGGGGGGATAAAAAGCAAACAGCCCCCCACCCCACCCCCGTTGTCCCTAATCCTCAACAGAAATGCTCACAACAATGAAAACCTCGGACAGGAGGAAGAGCGCCGCCAGGCGGGCAGGCAGGTGTCTTGCTCGGCTGTGGCTTGGGGGGCACTTTTTTCAGTGCCATTGTAACTTCGAACAGTCACTAAGCGAACTGTTGTAAGTCGAGGACTACCTGCACTTCATCACTTTTTTCCTTTTTGGGGGGGGGGTGTCATCAAGTTTTTGACACCTTGCTAGGCGACTGGTGGTCCTCGGATGTTGTCATATCCTAAAAGTGGTACAATGGGTGAAAAGGTTGAAAAGCCCTGTTCTAGAGAACAGGCAGGTAAGAGACAGCTGAGTTGGCTCCCTTATTTGTATCTTTCCCCCACGGTCATATACACTTATATACTGCTTGACAGTGTGTCAGTTTACAGCCTTCTCTGAGCAGTTTAGAGAGTCAGCCCATTGCCCCCCCTCTCCCCTCAACAATCTGGGTCCTCATTTTACCGACCTGGGAAGGATGGAAGCCTTGAGTCAACTTTGAGCCGGTCAGGATCGAACTCCTGGCAGTGGGTAGAATTAACCTGCAATGCTGCATTCTAACCACTGCACCACCACGGAAGGAAGGAAGGAAGGAAAGAGAAAGGAAAGGAAAGGAAAGGAAGAAAAAGAAAGGAAGGAAAGAAAGAAAGAAAAATAGAAATAGCAATAGCACTTACATACTGCTTCCCAATGCTTTACGGCCCTCGTTGAGCAGTTTACAGAGTCTGCCTTTTGCCCCCAACAATCTGGGTCCTCATTTTACCGACCTCGGAAGGCTGAGTCAACCTTGAGACGGTTAGGATCGAACTGCTGGCAGTGAGCAGAGTTAGCTTGCAATGCTGCATTTTAACCTCTGCACCACCACGGGAGGGTGGGGAGGGAAGGAAGGAAGGAGAGAGAGAGGAAACAGAAAGAAAGAGAAAAAGAAAGGAAAGAAAGGGGAAGGAAAGAAAGAAAGAAAAAGAAAGCAATAGCACTTATATGCTGCTTCACAATTCTCTCTGAGCAGCTTCCAGAATTTGCATCTTGACCCCAACAATCTGGGTCCTCATTTTACCAACCTTGGAAGGCTGAGTTAAGCTCGAACTGGTCAGGGGGCTGGACTAGAAGACCTCCAAGGTCCCTTCCAGCTCTATTCTATTCTATTCATTCCCTTTTCTATTCTAATTTCTATTCTATTCTTTCTATTTATATATTCTGTTTTGTTCTGTTCTATTCTATTCTATTCATTCCCTATTCTATTCTATTCTATTCTATTCCTTTTCTCTATTCCATTCCATTCCATTCCATATTCTATTCTATTCTATTCATTCCCTATTCTATTCTATTCTGGTCAGGATCGAACTCCTGGCAGCGGGCAGAATTAGCCTGCAATTCTGCATTCTAACCACCGCGCCACCAGGACCCCCGGGGTTAAATCAAACAGGGTGAACTTGGAAGTACTACTAGTACGCGAAGGTAACTATGATATAGTTGCCATTATTGAAACTCGGTGGGATCAGACTCCTGGCTGGAATGTGCTGATGGAAGGAGGCCAGCTATTCCAAAGAAACTGGACGTAACGAAAGAGGAGACGAAGTTGCATTATATATATATAAAAGCTCACTACAGCTTTACAGTCCCAAAGGCGGCCACTGGACTTCCTTGTTTTTCCTTTGAAGACATTTCGCTCCTCGCCCAAGAAGCTTCTTCAGCTCTGACTGGATGGTGGGGAAACGGAAGGATTTATACTCCTTGCAGACCGCCGGTCGTTTGCATCCTTTTAGAGAGTCGTTGAGGCCACTTGGAGGTTGAACCTGTGTCCTCAGGGCCACCTGAGTGGTGCAAATGGGTGGTGGAGCCTGCTGGGAACCGCTGAAAGCGTGGTCGACCAGAGATGGGTGGTGTGGTCCCCTTCCCCTTCTGTTCTTTTGGGGATCGGGAGAAGAAAAAAAGACATTAATTAATCGATCCCCGTGTTCTCATTAAGGCCTCGCGGGCTCAGGAACGGGAGCAAACGAGCTTATCAAGACGCCTGGATAGAACATCTGAGGCTCTACCCGGAGTTTTAACCCCCAAATTATCTTTTGAACAGCCACTTGCCTA